TCCCCCTCCACCGCTTTTTTCCCCTGCAATCCGGACACGTAACTTACTCGGGCATGACGAACGAGAGCCCGCGTAAATGCGTCTATTAAAATATCTAGGAATCAAATATCCTTGAATCGTCAATGTGTCTCACATTCATTTTTGTTAATTCTAGTATAATTAATAGTAACAATAATTTGTACGTCAATTATTTTTAATGTAGATAAATTGTGAGATTTAATTTAAATGAGAACACGATGTAAGAAGGTGTCATAAATCACATTAATAAACACTAATTATTTTTTTTACATCTTGGAAGATCAATCTGTAGAATCATATAAACAAATAGAATCATTTTTAGTGGAAAAATACATAATTTCCTTTTTTTCTCTTTTTGATTATTATTTCTCTTTTATTAAAATGTACGGTTTTACGAGTACCTTTCAATACTTGCTTATTTAATTATTATCTAAATAATTTCAATATTCATCTTTTATTACCGTGATAGGAAACATCGTGACGATTACGTTAGGAAAGTTTTCAAATTAGGGAATTAGGCTGTGGGAAAAGATAAAAATCGCGGGGGAAGGTCGGATACATCTAATGAGGGTGAATTCGGTGGACAAATGCCTCAGATAACAGAACTAAGGTAATGATGTTTGCCCGCTCATTTGCCGAGGAAAGGAACCAGCGGGAGGATTCGCTGTTAAAGGCCACCGGATTTGAATAAGTTTTTGTTTTACCGTCGTTTACTGTTACTACCAGGAGAGCTTGGCGATTTGGAGAACCTTCACTAAATTTTGGCCACCGCCAGTAACATCATTTCAGATAGATAGAATCTAATATTGAGTAATTATCAATGATAGCCTCTAACATGTAGATTTCGAAAATGTTCAAAGGATATTTATAAATAAAAAAATTTCACATATTTCTCACATATTTAAAATATACAACATGTTATGCTCTTGTTTTAATAATCAAGATTTTTGTCTCATTAATAATGTCATCGAAGTTAACAAAATTATTTCCAATTAGACTAATTGTTAATGTTGATTCAACAGCATTTCTTTCTCAGTGCACAGACAGAACAATTTTTGAAATATTTAAAAATTTAGCCGGATACAGAGCAGAAAAGAATTTTCTTAAATCATCAAAATAATGTAAGACTGGTTGCTAAAAAATGAAACAATTTTCCTTGACGGTAATCTCTTGTAATAATTGCATATAGAATTATCTATGATATTTGAGAAAAGATATATAGCAATATCGGAAACCCGCGGTTTGACGCATTTGATTATTCGAGAATGAAATATGTTATTTATTTATTTATGGCTATCATCGACGGGATGCTATCAAAGACCTTTGGTAACTTGACTAAGGCAGGCTGTCGTCGATAAGTCGATGTGCATGATGCCACTCGAGTGAGGGAGAAGCGATGCTCGAGGGGAAGGATTACGTTTAGACAGCATCTGACAGCAAAAGTAAAGAGGGCACGGTATAATCTCGATTTGTCGACATATATCAGAAAACATCCGGAAACGACGAAGCTCTTAATGTTAAAAATATAAAAATTATTAAATATTAACAAAAAAATTATATAAAACGAAAAATACTATTACAAATCTCTGCAATTACTGAAACAGAATGCAAAAGTTACTTCACGGGATATAAAATTTGGATAACACAATAAAATAAGATCTTCGCAGCTTCATAGAAAGAACGATTTTGTTGAAGCATCTAAAAATCTCAGAGTTGAAAATAATTTTTTGTCGAGCCCATCAAAATTATTACCAAGACGTTTAAGCATAATATACACTAACATATTAACACTACAAAAATTTTCTGATACTCTAGCTATCAATTCTCTAGCTATCGAAAGTTCTATATAATTATTTTTATGAATCAAAATATTATTTTCAGATCTCTATCTGGCTAAATTTTGAAATACTTTCAGCTGTTCAAAATTGTTCTTTTCGACGAAATTATATTGCTCGTCTCTGACGATATGCGATTTGCTAGCTGGAAAATATCCAGCGCGAAACTTGTGCCGCGTACTGCGCATTCGTAACCGTGAATCGCGCGTAAAGCTGCCTCGAAAGTTTCAAAGCCAGGGGTCTTTAAGGACCGCGCGAAAATCTCCTCGGCAGACTTAGGACCTGTTCGCTTAATCTCCATTCTCGGCCGGTTGTCGTCGTAGCGAAACGAAGGGAATTCGGACGATGCAAAAAATCCGGAGGAGAGGCATTCCTAGAGGACATTCCACCTCAGATGTCCGTCTTCTCGACGCGTTTCCAACTTCTCTCAGCTTTAAGTTCTTTACTTTGCTTAGGAAAATATAATGAGAAAATGTGTATTCTCTCACAGGATATACACTTCGGAGAAAAGTTTTCGCGAGAATGGTCCGAGAGCGGGGAGGAACCGGTGAAGGAGGATGCTCTACACGGACCCAAAGGATTGGCTGGCCAACTGATGAGGAAACATGATAACGAGGCCGGTAGACGTGCCATTCGTTCCAGGATGCAGCGTGTTTGCAAGTGTCACGGTGAGCAACAACGAGAACATCCTTCGATGATCGATTCGCGCATCGTGATCTTCCTGCGCGGAAGAAGGGTTTTGTTGAAATATCCAAAAATTTGCAGTCAAACTGCAGTCACAAATCTTGTTGGGTCATCACAATAATTAAGATGCTTAAGTATAATGCTAAAATATTGCAAGAATTTTTAATATTTTTAACAACTGATTTGAACGTCCTTACGTTAATTATTTTAATGATCCAACAAAATTATTTCTATCTGGCCAAACTTTTATAATCGCGATCAAGGAATAAATATTATTTCACGATTGGAGTTCTCATTTCGAACTCCGACGAATGAATAATTCTCGCTTTGTTTCTTGTATCGCGACAGGCATGTCCGGTTCATGCAGCGTACGCGTGTGCTGGAGAAGACTACCGTCATTCCGGGTGGCCGGAGTCGCCCTGGCGGCTTTGCACGAGGGTGCCGCTCTGGTGCGGTTGGCGCAACGCGGTGGTAGAAGACCGGCCAGGCTCAGACCGGCGCGTCCCGATCTTAAGCGACCGAATAAGACGGATCTGGTTTATCTGGAGGACAGTCCTGACTATTGCGAGAGGAATCTCACGTGGGTCTAACTTGAATTAATATATTTAATATGCAATGAAAATATATAAGCCGACAAAAAAAAACATGATTATAGACTATTAAGAAAAATTTTATGAATGACGATTCAGTATATCTCGCGAATTCTACCGGCATGTCAGGAACGCAGGGGAGTCGAAAGGGAATTAATCAGGAAATTCTCGTTTTTCCTTCTGTTATATTATTAACTATGCTTTCGCGACGACGATGTTGTAATTTTCGTTCTCTCCGCAGGCTCGGCATTCCCGGCACGCGAGGAAGAGTGTGCAATCGGACGTCCCTCGGTCTCGACGGGTGCCGGCTGCTGTGCTGCGGCCGGGGCTACCAGACGCGGGTGCGAGACATCACCGAGAAATGCAAGTGTCGATTTGTCTGGTGCTGTCACGTGAAGTGCGAAATGTGCCGGCACACGCGGGAGGAGCACGTGTGCAACTAGATGGCAGATGCATTCCGGGATCCGGCCTATCTGTAGGAACACGTCGTTCTTTACGTTCGGATTAATCATTCGTTGCCACTTCGCGTTATATATCCGCATCAATTAACGCCGCGAGAGGCTATACGACGACATTTTACGTCGATTTACGTCGATGCGATTTCCTCCTGGCGGTCACCGATAATCGTAAGCACCGTTCTTCAGCAACGTCTTGCGAATAATAAAATACCATACGAGAGCGTGCGCTTGAGGCTTTCGCTTGCGTAAGAGAGCATAGAAAATATATTGCGGAGAAATATAGGAACAATAATTAATTTTTTTTAATTAATTATATATTATATAATTAATATATAATTAATAAGAAAATAATTTAATTAAATAAATTATTTAATTAATAATTAATGTAGCATAATTAAATTAATTAAATAATTTAGTTGACATTATTAATTATTAAGTTATTAATTATTTAACTAATTAAAAAATAATTTTAATTCAACACATGTGTTTACTTTGAATAATTTTGATTGTATCTTCTACTAAGTATTTGTTACATCCTCACTTATACGGTTCGTTAATTTAAATATCTAAGAGATACTTTATGCTACAGAGAAGCTTAAATAAAATTGCTTGCGGTAATCAAGATTCTTAGTATACTATTATAACGTTAACATAACGACACGTCGTCCGCGAGGTTGCTGTTGCATGGCTTATCATACCGGTCTGATCGTCAGGTGCCACCTTATGCGAATGTTAATGTCGAAAGTGAAAATGTGACTTTAATTTACATTTAATCGTTTAATTTTATCTCGACCCGGACGCGGAGGCGAGGCTTATATTCCAGGGACACATTAACGCATGCCCATGCATGCTCGCTTTGCATCATCGGACTTGCGCGATCTGACAATTCGAGTTCTGATAACGCAAACACATCAAGTTCTCCCTCTGACATCTCTTTTCCGACTCTACATATTACACACACACACACACACACGCGCGCGCGCGCGCGCGCGCGCGCGCACTACGCGTAATAACTTCGTATAGCATACATTATACGAAGTATACGAACGCATGCCCACTGCATGCTCGCTTGTCATCATCGGACGTTGTCGCGATCTGACAATTCGAGTTCTGATAACGTCGAAACAACATCAAGTTCTCCCTCCTGACATCTCTTTTCCGTACCTCTACAATTACTACACACACACACACACACGCGCGCGCGCGCGCGCGCACTACGCATGCACGCACGCACACATTTATTTATTCGATATAGCTACATGTATCTTTCATATATTAGTATATTCTTTTTATAGCAAGAATCGAGTGATAGGAAATTTTGTTGGGACTTTATCTAGATTTCTTCTCGTGACATATTAGTCATCTCGTGACACTCGCGCCCTGATGTGCCAATTTACTATTTCTGCGTACGATAGAGGAAAAGAAAGAGAATGAAAGACAGAGCGAAAGAGGAAGAGAGAATATGAGAGAAAAAGAACAAGCGAGAATACAAAGGAGAGCAAAAACGTAATAGACCATGCGCGTCGATTTTTTTTCTCTGCTCTCACATACATTCGCGTATGATACGCGTGCAATTATGCATATAGTGTCCTATTTATATCGAAGACCTCCCGCACGGTGTCCCGTAGGTGTCTCACACACTGTCTATCGACGCTCTCTAATGCGTGGAATCTTCTTTTCGTCTAAGTAAAGAGCAAGCGTAGCGAGAAGTCGCGTTACCGCCGGACACGGAAGCGAATTAACGAGGCGATCCACGAGCGAGACGAATCCGCCTCGAGTCTCCGCGCCTCGAGTCTCTGGACTTGCACGAATCGGGAACAATACTGCCAATGAATGTAAATATCTCACTGTTTTTTTTTTCTAGGCTCTACGTAATCATTGTTGTATATACATAGGCTGTTTCATCGGCTTCGTTTAGGAAAATCTGCGTTGTGTTTGTCACGGTCTACACGAAATATTCGTACCCCATCTGCGATTTTATCTCTTACTGTCACCATTATATACTTAATATGATAATACGGAGTGTGTATGTGTGTATACGTACACACACACACACACACACACACACACACACACACACACACACTACACACACACACACGACCGTTATTTGTCATGCGCGCACAAGTAACGGACGACGTCTACGTTCGATTATTAATTTTCTTAGTCCACATCAGCGCACTACTTGCTTCCGTACCTAACCGGAACTTAGTACGTACGCGACGATTTCCTCTATTTACTTTTCGGTCCGTAACGTACGTTAGTAAGTACGTTAACGTACATTAGTACGCAATTATTATTTAGTAAGAGTAGTATTACTACACACACACACACACACACACACACACAAATATAAATAATAAATGCTTTATTATTTTATAGCTAATAGATATTACGCAATGTTTTATAAACACGAATCTGCAACCTCTCGAACAATCTTCTAAAGTGATTTATTCAAATTGTATTGAAATTATTCAAATATTTGTAATTATTATATACATGAATATCGATGCACTATCCAATTATTTTAGTAGAATGTACTATTAATAAATTATAAATTTTCGTATTTCGCATATATGCATATCCATGAATTAATTTGTGGATGTTCATTTCATGAATTCTATAAGACAAATTATTGTGAATACATAATAAATTATACGAATTTAAATCATTAACAATTATTTCGTGAGGTTGCATACCTATTGTCTCTTGTTTGTTTAGGATACGGCCTTAATCAACGCGTAGTAGATATCGCGATTCGTCCGTATATTTGTAAGAACTTAGCGGTAAACGTAAATCACGAGGGAATACACTCGTGCCAACGACATACAGAACTCAGTATTGACAAACTGTAATTTATTTTCTTCACGATAATATATTACACTTCATCGTAATCGTAATCTCTTCAGTCGAATTATGAGAAAGTGTTCTCGTACCAATAATCAGTAATAGTAAAAAAAACGTCTCTTCGCTAATTATAAAGTAAATCCTAGCTCGTAAAATCTTTGTATTCGTATGTACCTGTATTCTACATGCATTTATATAAATATACATATACAGAAACGTCCATGAATGCGTATATCAAATTGCAATGGAACACACTCACTGCGTATACCGTCCTTTTGCTGTTTGCACTTTGTTAGCCGTGACGAGATATCGCGCGACAACTGCGCTGCCCGTGCAGATAATCCCGAGAATCACGCCTACTAAAAGACCAACGAAGAACTGGATGTCCTCCATGAGCGTTCTTGCTTGATTCTTCGGCTTATGGAATTTCTCGGTATCGTCTTTGGTCCTCGCGATGTAACCCAGCCAGTAAACGAGCCTGTCGGAAGGTGGGTTTAGTCTGTCCCGTATCGCCACAGAAACTTTTCGCGCGTTCTCACGATAAGCCACCGTTTCGTAGATCTCGTGCATGATCTGCGCGATCTTCACGGCCGAGGCATAATCGTTCGTAGCCTCCGTGGTGCGTGCGAAACCCAACTCGACCGCGCGAGCCGCATTGCGAGACTCGTGCGTGTCTCTCGGTAAACATATCAAGGGTGTCCCGTGAAAGGCAGCTTCCAGGAATTCTGTATCGGTACAATGACTCAACACCACTCGAGTTCGACTGTAACCTGTGACAATGGAGAAACAGTATTAAGAGAAGAATGCCTCCATAGTATTGTTTCGTATTATCCTCACTCGCGCGATTATTCAATTCATAGCGCTTTGGAGAGCTCGTATTCGCGAGGCACGTATTTCACTTGTGCGCAAATAAATGCTTAGACTCATTGTTTTCATTTACTCTGAAATGCATTATATCGTGGAAGAGAGATAAAAGTTGTATTTTATAAAATTAAGAATTTAGTATTTGAAAAACTTTCCTCAATATTATAAAATTATGTCATCTATTATTCACGCGCACGTATTGAAATATTTTGTATGTTTTGAATTTAATTCTATAAACATATTCACATATATATTTATCTATATTTTACCTATGAGATCTTGTCGATCGACAGTATGGTCGATGAAAAGATTTTCCGGCATGGCAATACTCGAATCGTCCTTACTTTTCCATATGACAGCTTGACCTTCTCTGCCTTGAGGCAATTTCTTTGCCAGTTCTCGTATCAATGTACCATAATTACCTTCTAGAAGAACAACAACAGTACCCGTTCTATATTCGACTAATGATTTCTGCAGATTCTCAGGTAAGGGATATGCACCTCTGCAATGATGACAGCCAATCTAAAAACAATTTTAGATTGATGATAAACTACATTGGAATAATCTATGAAAAATACTGGAACAATTAGAGATTAAAAAAATAAAAAAAGAATAATTTAATATGTATTTTACGAACCTCCACGAATAACTGTGTCAGAGACGCAAAGTCGGAACGTAAAACTGTATCACTTCCCCAAAGCACTAATCGAACATCAGAGTAAAGATGCTCCAAGTCGATATTAACATCTGGTAGATATTTGACTGTTAATCGTAGAGCAGGAATTAAATAATCATTTTTAGCAGCAGAAAATATAGATTTCCCTGCAAAGCTTGTTAAAAGTCTTGACCAAAATCCACCATTGTGTATTGGCAGAGCAACTCTAGTACATTCAAATGCATAAAGTTCTTCATCCAAAGTTTTTATCCAGATTATCGGAATGGATCCGATATGCTTTACAAATGGAAGCAAACAACCGTCATGTCTAAAAAAGAATATAAGTGCACACAAAATATACAAAAGTATACATAAAAAATTATTAATATTTGATTAAACAAAGTCTTACAAATATATTACAATTAAATTAAATTTTGAAATTGAACTCAAGATTGATATACCTTAATGCTGGAAATATAGTGAATGTAGGCTGAAATTCCTGTATTTTCTTCAGTATTTCCTCATCTCTAAAGAGAATGTCACATGCCTCTAATGCAAGTTTCTCAATATGCATCGATTTATCAACACTAACATCTAGTTGCAATACTTCAACGTCAATTAGCTTATTATAAACATCATTTACAGCATAGGTTGGTATTATCAATGTTGTATCAATTCCCTGATCAGATAAGGTATTAGCCAACAATGATAAATCATATATATTTTCAAATGCAACAATTAAAGCTGACAAAGGGGGTGTTGTCAGAATTGAACTGCTTGCAAACCCAATTAAATAAAAGCACATGTATAAATCGACTAGGGTTAACATTATAACAATAATTGCAGTTAAAAAATTTGTTCAAATATTTTGTTTTGCTCTAATGAGCTGTCTATAAAATTAAAATAATTGATATCCAATATTCAATTAGACTGTCAATTTTCTGTCTAAGAAATTACAATCATGAAAGTGATGTACTTCTTAGGCAATTAACTATTGAAGAAATCTGTTGGTAAATCACAAACTAGAAGCTCGATCCAGCGCTTCATAAGACGGAACAAAATCTAAAAGACAAAATGTAAGCAAAATTATCAAACGCGAATATATGAAGACCGTAATGAGGTTTAATTTTCTCAGGAATACAGCGAGCCTCACCTCTTATTACTTTTCGAGATGTATCTCGTATCAACCGATGTATCTTCGTATCAACACGTGTATTGTTTAGATACGACGGTCTGCACACAACTACTTCGTGGCACGTCAATTTAAATTTGATTCCGGTTTCTAGATGGAACTGTCACACCGCTGTATTAGCAGATATCGTTTCACCAAGCAGAGACTTGCAATTCCCGGATTCCGACTCTGAAATTCTATTCATAACCACTCCCTCGATGACCAACGCGCACGACGGCGCGCGGCGTATGAATATACCCGTGTCCGAACGCAGAACGTTCGTGAAGCGTTAAACGCGCGCGCATGCGCGCATGCTGTAGCTCTGCTTTCGGCATCTTAGGGCTTGCGCACAATGGAGGAAATATTAGGAATAGGAATAAATATTAGAATTTTAGATCGGTATTCATAGATTTGCGTTCCGATATTCACTGCCAGTACTGAAAATTCACAATTAATATATATATATATATATATATATATATATATATATATATATATAATATTAGGCACAATTAAAAGTTATTGTTTATTTATAAAATAAAATAATTTAGCAAGAAGATAATTAAGTGACAGTTTGAGGCGAAAGGCGTACCAGCATGTTTTTTCATAGGATGACGCTCCTGAGGTACAGCCGTTCGGCGGCTCGGCCGCTGAAACTCAAACGGTAGTGGGGAAACTGTAGGCGTCGCCTTCGAAATCGGACCGAAAATGTTCAACTAATTCCGAGCGCTGATATAATGTATCTCAATTTGCGCATGCGCGTTGCAATTTTGGCTTTATATATTGAAGGGAGTTGCACTACTGTATATTGTGACATAGCACAGCCTTATTCTAGTTTATTCGTAACCGTTAATTTTTGCTGTGAAGCAACGCGGTCGGAACAAGTTGGAGTGAACTCGGAGGGTACGATGACTACACCTTCGAATACCGGATTGTCCTTCGGCACACCGAAATCCGGTGCAACAGGTACGATAGACATTTTGAACGAAAACGTAAGCTAAAATGTGCTTTTACATTTTCTCCTAACTTAGGAAAAGTTGTGCATACTTTAATGTGTTCACTTTTCAAGGACTCACCGGTTTGACTTTTGGTACTCCGACTACTATGGCCACTGGGACCGGCTTCGGCCTTGGCGGTGGCATAACCGCAACGACAACATCTATATCCATCGCATCAAGCCTACCGAGTTTCACGAATCTTGCAAGTAGCACAATGCCCATGTCCACGGCGACGGGGCTTTCATTCGATGCCACAAAAGCGCCGACGACCGCGGCCACAGGATTCTCTCTTGCAACCACTACAACAGGTTTCCCTTTTGGTGTGGTCGGGACATCGAAACCTGCAGCAGGTATATTTTATTTTCTGGAGTAACAAAAAGTTCAAGCAAACGATGTAAAAGAATAATATTTTAGTGTTAAGCAAATCATCCGGTCAAATTTGAAATTGTTAATTAGCATTCCAAAACTCTTAATTATGAGTGGACAAAAATCTGCATTGAAATATCCTTATTCATTAGATTTCAAATCTATTACATATATTAAGCCTGAGTATACATTAAATCAACTATAAAAAATAAACCTTTTGTTCTTCTTGTTGACGCGAGGAAGATATTATATAATCTTCATTCCTATTGTACTTTCAAGGATCCACTGGCCTGACCTTTGGTACTCCAAACGTCATGACTACTGGAACTGGATTTGGCCTTGGCAGTACAATAACAACTACAGCATCTGCAACAAGCATTCCAAATTTCAGTCTTCCTACCAGCAGTACAGCTGTGACATCTGCCACATCTGGGCTTTCGTTTGATGCCTCGAAAACAGGTACCACTACGGCAACCACAGGATTTTCCCTTGCGACGACTACAACAGGAGGATTCAGTTTTGGAGTTGGAACATCAACGACTACTTCTACCGGGTTTCCTTTGAGCAAAACAACTTCCGCCGCTATTTCAACAAGTTTAGCAGTACCTTCAACTCACACTTCCTTAGGTACCACTACAACGTAAGTGCAGTTTTCATATTATCAATTATAAAATCTTTTAGTTTATTTTTCGCTACTGAGTTCGTTTAATACTGAGTTTGTTCACTTAACTCAGTGAAAAATATTTTTTATTGCAGCGTTAGTTCTGCAACTGGTATACAACCAGGAGCTATTAACTTCTGTCAACTTGAAGAATCGATTAATAAATGGACTTTGGAATTGGAGGAACAAGAGAAGGTATTTGTGAATCAAGCGACACAAGTTAATGCCTGGGATAAATTGTTGATAACTAATGGAGAGAAAATAGTAACTTTGAATCAAGAGGTTGAGAGAGTGAAAATCGAGCAGCAGCAATTGGAGCATGAACTGGATTATGTTGTAAGTTATGTTGTACATATGTTTATTTGCATTTATAAACATATTTACACAGTTTAAACATAAATAAAATTTAACAAAATTTTAATTAATTTAAAATAATTATATCACTTAGGTTGGACAACAGAAAGAATTGCAAGAATGTCTAGTACCATTAGAAAAGGAGCTAGCATCTCTTTCTGTCTCAGATTCTGATCGAGAATACACTTATCGTCTGTCTGAAAATCTCGACACGCAGTTAAAACGCATGTCAGAGGATTTGAAAGAAATAATAGAACATTTGAATGAAGCAAATCGCGCTCAAGATTCGAGCGATCCCATTGTTCAGATTGGAAAGATTTTGAACGCTCATATGAACAGTTTACAATGGTTAGACCAACAGACAGCTTTGTTAACTCAAAAAATACAACAGATCGATCAAATGCATCAAAGTTTCAGGCAAGAAAGCGAACAGAATTTACATTTAGCTTACAATTAGCTGCCGGCTCATTTTATATAAACTTGTAAGAATATTTTTTGAGTGGCGTATTATTTAATGAAAAGTCTCAAGTGTGAATGAATATGATGTATGAATGTGAAAAATATGAAAAATATACATATATTTTACATTTAACTAATACATTAGAATATCTTCTTTTTTCTGTTCAAGAAGCAATAGCTGGCATAAAATAATGCATCTTAATATGATCTCCTACATCTAGAGTTAGTTTTATCATCTTCTCATGCAATAAGTGACACTTAACGCTATCCGGATGAAGAATGTCCCAACCTAGGAATGTGGCGAGTTTCTTGGTACTGACAGTAGCAGAGATATCTCTATCCTCTTGTTCCTCTGTACTTTCCCAGACTTGCAAATCCTTGAAGTGACTGGATACAGTAGCGTAATCCACAGTGATTTTTATAATCAATGTACCACATTTATTAGTAATCACTGTTAGCTGAGAACTCATATTTTTCATCCTTTCCACAATGTGTCGTAAGTGCTTGAGTTGTGGCATTTCCAACGAAATCTGGAACAAAATTTTATTCTTATTAGATGATAGAAATACAGTATTCATAATTTATAGAACATTTATTATTAGAGAGAAGAAAATTGTTCTATACATTTCAATAGTTAATTTACATGTCTTTGTCCAATAATTAATTCTGAATTTTTATAAATTTTGAATTTTGTCAATTTTGAACTTTTGTTCCTATTTGTAAAGTTATATATTTTTCAAGTTAATCAATGAGTCCAAAATGTTCTATGTTTTTAGATTATGTAATTAAAACATAAATTTTTCTAACAGAAAAGATAATTTTCCAAAATTCTTATATTCCCAGTAAATTATTAAAGTAAAGATTCAAGAGAATATTCTATTTTTAGAAAGTAAATAATTTAAAAGATAAATTATCAAAAATTTCCATTTTTTCTCATTCATTATTATACTTACGTCAAATTCAGAAATATCTGGCATTTTGTGTTCCGGCCACTCCTTGCGAGGTATTAATTTCACCGGAACATCATGCACACATTGTCGCGAATCAATGCTAGCTACAGAGGACAGATCAATCTCAAACGTTAGACAAGGTTGCTGTTTGTTTGTCAATTTAATTTTCATACTTCTCGCCATTGCTTTTAGACTATTTAAGCTTCTAGCAAACATGGAAGCATTGAATTCCAAGTAAATCTCATTTTCCTGCTCAGATACCCCGTTCATAATATATTCTATGAAAAAGTACTGCTGTGAGAGCACTGCCCAAAGAACAGGTATGCGTTCGTCACCAACATTAAAACATAATTCGTCTGGTGTCAATTGTAGCACGCAGTATTTGGCCATTCGAGATATAGTGTTAACAATATCTGAAAAATACAAAAGAACATTCATAGTAGTCAATAAATTAAAGAAATCAAAGACTAAACAGTTGTATATGATAATTAACTTGTGATCAATCGACAATTTATTTAATAGAAAAGTCAACAAGTCGGTTAAAATCAACAATATTAATTAATTCCTAATCTTTAAGCTTTTAAGCTTTTTTTGAAAAAGATTCCGGATAGTGAGATATTTAAACCTTCAAACAAATTTTTAATTATCACAATGATCGAGGCTAGATAACCTCAACAAGGTTAGAAATACGAAATTTTTAAACTTTACTTGTAAAATCTCGCATGGCACCCGCATCCACCATTCTGCATCTAAATTTCATTTTTAATTAAGTCATCCGTTTATCGTTGATACTTATTTTATTTGCGAATGTCGAAGGATAATCAAAAGGCTGCGAAATTGGCGCGAAAAACTTGCCGGTCACACATGTTGCCGAGTGACATAGAATGATACAGGATGATGACATAACATGTTTGGTGTCCTTTCCATCATCTAAAACATTTTATTTATACACGTTTAAGTATAAACGTGCAGAATGAGATATGCGAGATAGAATTAAAAACATTATGCAGATTTTATGCAGATTCACACAATCGTCAAAATTTAAATAGTTCATAATTTTATTCTTATTATTATTACTAGAATTAAAAACATAAAAAGTTACACCGAGATTAAAGCTGATCTATACTGATAAAAATAAATGAACATTAATTGATTAACTTATCCGGCATTAATTTAAAGCGAACAATTAATTTTCAATTCTTTCCCTATATCATATACAGCAAAAATTTTTTAATAATTTACGCTAAGAAAATATTACAGTTGTGATAAAAATTATTAACAGCGGAGCCAAGTGTTGTTTAGATCGAACACAGCTATCGAATGAGAGAGATATCTTTCTTGAGATATCTTGAGATGCTTTTCTTGTTACTGACGATAACGTAGGAACTCTATTCTAAGATTTTACCAATCGCGCAGCATGGGGAACCGCGGGCTGGACCACGTGACCGACCGGGGCTGATCTCCGCGTCGGTGTGACACTACGGGAAATTATCCTGCGCGAGATAAGTGTCTATCGGCGTCGCGGGAAGTAATCTACCCACATCTCGTAACCCCGTCTGTCAAAGATTCGGAAAAATCCGTGTCGGCGTTACGTGACGTTCGCGAGATCGCGTCGCGCGTAGACGACGCTGCGTATGAGCGATCGGGATCGCCGATATCCGCGTGTCGGGAGTGTTCTACGTAAGGCGCGGGGCAAAGGGGTACTCGAATACCGGCGAAGTTTCTTACCCCGCATCGCACGTCACGATTGTGCCGAGGGTGAGAAGCCGGCCATATTGTTTAAATCGCTACGCGTCCACCACTCTCCACCACGCAGGTTATTACGTGATATCTCGGCACGGATGTTCACCCCGAGACTATGCGGCGCTGAGCAATATGTCTTTCGGTAGAAAGAGGTGAGTGATATTATATCGCGCCTTTCACGTAAATAGAGCGCGACTCGCGAAGTTGCGTCTTAAATGCATCTCTCTTTCTCCTTCTCTCTCTGCAAAACCCTCTTTCTTCACGTTTAAAATTAGACTAGAAGTCTATATTCGAATGTTTTCGGAGAAGAGACAGACGGTCGAAATCTCCCGGAGAGGTGACAGATTCACTTTGCGACCACACGCTTCTCTCCGTCGTCCTTTTTTTTAAATATATATTTTTGGCGGGAACGAGCGTGGGAGAGCGCGCGAAGTCGGAGCAACGCGTGGACTCGCGCGGCACGCAGCCATCGCCTTTCGCTCGTGAAGCCGCTTTATCGCAAGGGGTACGAGGATGAATTTCCACCTCGAAAGATCTAGTCTCGAGTGACGGTCCGGATAACCATGCGTCCAATCTTCTCGCGTGCATCACGCGGACACACCGAACCGAGAGATTGATGCACGCGTCTCGTTTCCTTGTTGCGTCATTTGTCTCGCTCGCCGTGAGGACTTTGTACGTGAGGAGGGAGGATTTGGAAGAGCGACAATAACATTCCCGCGTCTTGCGTCGAGGTGACTTCGACGACGCTCGTCAATACTTATGAGGGACTTATTATTGTCGCCCAGCGTTTTGTTTCCAGTCACCGAACACGGCCAGCTTCTCGATTATCTCTGTATAAGATAAAATTTCAAGCCTGCAATTTTCCTTTTTTGTATAATCTGAGCACAAGGACGAGGCTAAACGACTTGATCTTGACAAAAATTATAATAAAATCGACATAGTTTTCAATTTCTTTTAAACAATTTCTTTTAAAAACTGTTTTAAAGAATAATTTTACGATATAACACATACATTTTTACTTTAATTTTTTTATGTGAAATATGTATTGATTAATCACGCATTTTGATTAATCAAGTATATTTGTTATATAGATGTGTCCAATACAGAAAATTTATATATTTTATTTCGACAATTTTTCTGAATTTGTTATTATATATCGCATTATTTTTTTGTATCATCTCTTTTACAAAGCTGCAACATATAATTTCCGGTCTCACTTGTTCGATAATATCCATTTTTTTATGCGTTACTTGTCCATTCTCATCGATCTCGACTTTCTTATTCTTGTATCCAATAACCGAAAGAAGTATAGAATAACGTACAAGAGAGACGTCGATAAAAAAAACGGTCAACTTTCTTCTTCGGGTTACTGCAGAAACGCCTTTGGGTAATGAATCATGAATCAGTTGATAAATTCGATTGAAGATTGTTTTAAAACGCCTTTGATCTTCGATGAACTTCGATGTAGATTAACTTTAATCTCAGCTTAATTTTTTCTAATTCTAAAAATTAGAAAAACATGCTTTAATTAATTAATTGATTGCTTTAATTAATTGCTAGAATTATTTAAAGCAAAATTTTCGACTATGTAATTTATCAGACAAATTTATATATATTATTTATAGTTATAAAAACTCATTAATATATGACAAACATTGAAACATTAGACATTAAACATTGACTCTAATTAGAAAAGAATTTCCCATAAATAAAAAAAATTTCCCTTAAAATAAAAGACCAAGTTGAAGTTTTGAGAAAATAAATCTAAAAGACTACCCTTTAAAATAAAGGACATATGGTCATTGTATCTATATGTCAAACTACAAAGGATAAAGGATGATTATATTCACGTTAACAAATTCTAAGTTAATTAAATTAAGCATGAACTCTCGGGGAGGTTCGGATTTCGTCAATCGATGCTTCAGGTCTTTCGCGCGTTTTTATTTTTACCCCGTAAGAATATCCGTCCATCTCTCGGGACATCTCTCGCAAAGCAGGGCGATCCCCCTCGTCCCGGAACATTAGTAGCGCTTCCTACTTATCAATATTAAGTTGCCCGTTGAGAGATTGGTTGACGTCATCCCGCGGGTTCCAGTGTCCCGCATGGCAACTGCCAGACAGGAGACAAACGCAGACGTTTTACGACCACGCGTGTATCGCCGATCTCTCCTCATGGTCGCGAATACGTCGCACACGCCCCTCTATGTTGTGCCCTGCCGCGCTCGGTTCGTGCCCTTTTGCACCTCCCACGTCCCTCTTTTCTCGCCGGTCCGTCCACAGGCTTATTCGCGCGTTTCCCGCCATTATTCGCGCAGGAAGATCGTAGAGGAAGAACTCTTAATCTTGCGATCCTCTGCGCATTTAATACCTCCACTTTGCGTCTGTTTGCTTCAACATGATTTTCCAATTTTTTGAATTTTTTGAATTTTGAATTTTTATATTTGCTTTTATTTACAATATTAATCTAACGATAGGAGATTGATAAAGCTGTGAAATTTATGAATATAAGACAGTCTACGAAATAGTCATAAAATGGGTCAAGTGAACCCAGAGGAATACCGTTAAAAACCGGTTAGGAATGTTGAAGAATTTTAATCGAACTATACGATTGCTTCACAAAAGTTTCATATTAAGTCTTAAAATGATAATAGATAATTCTAAAATAATTAAGTAGATAATAGTTTATATATATAGAAATTAAAAACTACAACAGAATATATACTATCTGGACAAATTTGAAATTCTCGGGGATTTATTTATATCTTATAAAAATCAAGGGATTTTCCCTGAAAATTAGGGAATTTTTTGAAGTTGCTTTTTCTAATATTTTGCCTTTACATTATTAATCGTTTACCGACTGAATTATTAATAACAATGGACTCATCTATTCTAAACATTAGAGCACACTGATTTTACAACTAACATTCGTTTGAAGACGATTTCGTATTAGATGCAATTTTATTGAAGATATTTATTTTAATAATTTTATAAGAATTGAATTTTATAGATTTATAATTTTCTTTTTTCCAAGCAGACATCCTCTAAAAGTTCATAAAAGAAAAAAATCATCTCACGAAACGTATGCTCACTGGTAAAACGCCGCCTAATTGACGAGTCAACGAAATTGTTGCGTAGTAAGATGACACTCCTATCAACGGAGATCCACGTGACGAATGCTCGAGGTTGACCTCTCGATGTCGCCGACAACGTCGGCGCTCATCTCGCGCGCACGCGCGCGCGCGCGCGCGACGGAAACAAACGAGAGACAGCTGCCCCCGTTCATAGGAACAGAGGCGGACGAGCGACGACGAACCCTCCTGGTTTGGCCGGCCCCGTCTCTCTTTCACCCGTCGCACGGATGCGCCGCGCTATTCAGGGCACGGCGCGGCGTGTTCGAGAGCGCGCGGGGCGGGGATCGACACCCGGAGGGCGCGGAGCGACGCGTCCCTGCATGTGGCTCTTTAATACGCCGGGCTCATAATATACAAATTCGATGCCGGTCCGGAAGGATGTATGCCATGGCATCCAGGATGTTGCTCACATTGCCCATCATTCTCGGCAAAAGAAAGAGCACCGACGTAACCAAACGTAATTTTTCGAAATCGTTTGAAATCGTCCTCGCGATTCATATTTTTGTATAAATTAAGGGATGTTAAAATTAAAAGTAATTTAATAAAAAATAAGAAGCGAAGTCTTGTCGAGAATGTAGCGTAACGGAGTACTTTGGTCGTATTTCTTCTTCATTATTTGGTATCTATGTTTATGTTCCATACAATACCCTAGTAATGTCATGTAATATTTACATACTTGACACAGTTGGTTTATTCTGATGTTGGAATCGTTCTGTCAGAGTTTTGCCTTCGAGTGCCTTTGTAATTCGGAAAACATTGCACTTGCGACTCCATGCTCGAATGCTGAGCTCTTTCACAGGTGTGATTAGTAGAAGAAGTTCAGCCCTCTTCAGTCATTTTAGTCATATAGAGGAACGTTTTCATGTTTCGCACGTAAATCTTTATTTTTTGAAATATTACATGAAATTTCACAGGGAGTCATGATTGTTATAATCTTCCGTGACTTTGTACGGTCGGCAAGGAGTCCCGTTTTAGTGCTTTGGCTACAATAAACTTCGGCGATTTGCAGACACGTTGGACATTAATGCCTTCGAAATTACGGGGTTACTACTTACGTGTATGCACGTACCTCGTCCAAGTTGGTCCGAGATAATCAAATTCGGTCACAAACGTTCGAACGCTGTACGGAAGGCGGACCAAGAATTACGATATGACCAAGAGGAAGAGAGAAAGAGAAAAGAGAAAATTATTACTTGCGAAAAGAAGATAGAATGAAACTTTCAACGAATGAAACTTTTTTTTTTTTAGAAATGGCATTCAAAGTTAATACCCTCTATGTGCTCGTAAAATTACAATCATTTAACTACTAATTAGACAGCTTATAAAAATTGTAATTATATTTCCTATATATTACAAATATTTTTCATTTTTCTAAGTAAGATTGAAGGTATCTGGAGTACCGGTCCGTCCAACAACGGCCCACTATGACAAGGGAAATTACAAATTTTTCAAAAATAACAAATGATTCACAAAGCCTACAATACCAGACAATTGTCCATTATATGAAGTTCTCCGGATATATTTTTGCCGACAAGGGTGGCGGCCGCTGGCGGTTCTCAGCTGGATGGACCATCACGATTCGGCACTCTTCTTTTTATCCAAATTGAGAACCCGGAAGGCGAAGGCCCGGGCCTCCGCCATGTTCTCCGGTGAGGAAAACCTGTCCGTGTCGTGAAGCGACCTGCATCCAATCCGCCGACCGTATCAGCATGCCCGTGTACCTGTGCTCGACGTTGGTTCTTCGTTTCTTCCTTCTACATCGCGACATTCTCTCTCTCTCTCTCTCTCTCTCTCTCCCTCTCTCCTCTCTTTCCTCCTGGTAGTTCTTCTCGGAATCGGCCGCTGCGGAAGAATGCTGCCCGCCCGGACGCGTTCTTCGTTCTCGCGGTTGCATACATACATCGCGCAGGAAGTCCTTTCTTCCAGATTTTGCATATCCTTTCAACTTCGACATATGCTGTTCTCAATTTCGAAGCTGTGTCTTCTCGGTTTCAGGACGAGTCACGCGACGTATCTCTTCTTCGCGATATCTCTTCTTTTCTTTACCTTTCTCCAGCCTCCAGGTCTTCCCGATAATAGCGCATAATAGCGCATGAATTTTGGATTACTTAATGCGGAGTTAACACGTATTTTGAGATAATGCCTATCTAAATATTTCCTATTCAATCAATTAGAATCCTTTTACGAATCGAAGCTTATTTTTAACGAATGCTATTCTTGTTGACAAATTGTTAGATAAGAAGAAAAATATTTAAAGAAGTATAAAACTTTTGATAGAGTATAAAAATCTTAATTTTTAAGTTTAATTTACTGTTTGCAAGAATTCGGTCTCGCCGAAATTTCGTCGTGTTTTTCATCCTTGGTATTCTTCGAAGCGTGACCCGTAGAACGATTTTGCACCATCGATTCGCAATTTCTTTGCTTCGGTTCGTCAAGGAATCGATCGGTTCTCAGAACACGAACGGCGTGATACTGCCGAGATCTTGCGGCTTATTCCGGAGTCCGCAGCCCTTCCTCTCATTTCCTCGTCTTTCTCACGTTCTTCTTCCTCGTCAGGAATCGCCACAATCTCCTCTTTCTTTTTTTCTTGCCTCTTCTCTTTCTTCCTATTCTCCTCCTCATCTTCACTCCGCCTTTCTCTTATTTTTCTCGCTGTACCTCACCACGTGGGTTAAGCGACCTAAGGTCCTATTTACATCGTGATAAGTTACATAAAATTTAGCAACGCCCGATATTTTAACACATTATTTCAACCGCAGACGTACCATTTCATTTTTTGCTGCCCGAAGATCGACTGGTCACGAGTTCAATCTTAGACAAATATACAATTCGAAGCATCGTAGAAAATAATTGAAGATTACCATAGTTTAACTTTTTATTATACAATTTATAATAATGTTTCGTTAATTTTAATTTGTCTGGAAACAGACTTTTCTGTATAAAATATTATAAAATATATTAATAAATAAGATAGCTTTGTTACTTTTGTTATTTATTTTATCTCAGAAGAGAAATGTCAATTTCAACGTGATAATTAAGTGCGGATGATATCGTAACTTTGGCAAAAATATTAATAACAATTTAAAAATATTAATAACAAACAAGAAGAAAACAAGTCACAGTTTGTAAGTCACAGTTTATAAAATTATTTGCTTAGATTATTGATTTCAACTATTCTTTTATTTTCTGTAATTTCTGTAATTTTCTGTTCTGTAATTTTCACTTTCGAAAAACACTCGCGAACAACAGTGTAGGCATAGTCTAAGCATAAGCCGTAACATCGAATCCATGGGTCCCAAGGTATGTACCGTTATTAAAGTACATTCCCACAAACAAAGCGCTCCTTTTATTTTACACGCATCATCAAGGCGTTCAGTTCCCTCGCTTTTTTGCCAAAAGAAAAATATCCCGCGTAAAATAAATTTACAAAATGAAATGAATGCAATATTATTTTGCTTTTTTATTATTGACGATTAAAAAAAAAATCACTATAGAAGATCTCTTTAAATTCTCTTTAAATCAGATCTCTTTAAAAAGTTGCTATCGATTTTCAAGTTACATAAAACGCAAAGGAGAAACTTTTAACATTGTATTACGATAAATGAATTTAATTAATTATATGTAACATTTCCGTAATTTTTTTTTCTTTTGAAAGGAAAACTCAACTTTACAATTTACAATTTAACTCTAGAAGAAATTCATTAATATTTGAGACTTTAGTTTCATTATCATGCTTTTCCTTTATAAGATAGGAATAGTTGAAATCAAATTTAAACTCGGAGTCGACGCTGGCGCGGGGCGGGACGGGCTTGGATGGATTTTTTATCTTAATACTTTTCTCTCGGGCCCTTTCCTTCCTCTATCGCGTCGATTGTTACTTCACAGAGGCATTAGGTCGCGCGCGTTGCGTCGTATCGCCGCCTCTTCCCGGTCGATCGTTTCTGACCGATTCCTTCGTGTACGTTTACTGATGAAGCACGTATGCATGCGCATATGTGTGGAACTTCACAGGGACGACCGGCGCCTTCGTGCCACCTCACCCTTCGAGTCGAGATGGTTCCCTCGTGCGCGTTCTCTCTCTTCCTCTCCCCCTCCCTCCCTCCCTCCCTTCTCTTTCTCTGTCTCTGTTTCTCCTTTCTTCCTGTCTCCCCTCTCTCCGATCGTCCTTTTCTCTCCCTCTGGTCGACCCTTTCCCTCTTACTCGCTGCGGGATCCAGCGTTAGACCTGCCGCTTGCTGTTGCTGCTGCTGCTGCTGAGAGTCTCTCGGCTAGTCGTCGCCAGTTCAGACTCGACCGCCGTTCAGGGAGGATCGTTCAGCGCGACACTTTCCGACGAATCCCCGAGTGTTGCCGCGTAGTGTGGTATCATCCCCCCCCCCCTCAAGACGGAAGTGTTTTAGCACGTAACTCTCAGCGAGAAAGGGAGTCCTCTTCTTGTGCATCGAGACGCGAAAGTGTTGAGACGTCATCTCGTCCGCGTGTATATATATATATTATCGTTTCGTCATCCGCGCTCTCGAGGATCGACGGGGGAAGTGTGAGGATAAACGCGGAAGAAAGGCGCGCGTTTCGAGAGGAAGGCAGAGGTAGAACGCGCGCGAGAGGGGAAGACGCGGAGGTAGAATGCGCGCGGACCTCCGCTCGTAGGGCTCTCCTTTCCCGAGGGACAGAGGAAAAAGCGCGTAAACATGACCGCGTGAGACCGCAGATTTCCCTCTCGACGGCGAAACCCTCCGGTGACGGAGACGCGCGCAATGGATCGCGACGTTACCGCGTGCAGGCGGTAGTACTCGTAAACCGGGGGTGCTTCGGAGTATCTACGCGGGAGAGAGGATATTGTCGGAGGGTTGCACTTTCTCTTTCTCTCTCTCTCTCTCTTTCTCTCTCTCACTCTCACTCTCTTCGGTTCCCCCGCGTTCGCCGTGGAACTCCCGTGCGTCGCTTATGATGGATATAATTCCGAATGAATTGCTCGTGCAGAATGGATTGCCGATCAACACCGTGGAGATACCGACCACCTATCACTCGTCCTTCTACTCCCCACCGGTTACAGAAGCGTAAGTAATCTCACGCTCGCGAGGTCCACGTATACGTGTTTATTTATCTCTGCTCATTTCTTGTCGCAAAGGGTACCTACAGATTAAACCGTGGATCGACCTACGGATCGGTCAATAAATAACACTTGTTGTAACTTACAGTACTTCGCGGGTTTGTATTGAGAGGTGGAACGATGGACGGAGTTAACTTATTACATTTATTTCGGAAATTTATTGCAGCCGAAATTAAATGAGACGAGGAAATGGTTGAATTTTCATGTGTGAATGTTTTCATGAAGTTCTGTATTGTCAAAACTCTGTTCTATCCTTCAAAAAAAAAAAAAATCTTCCTCATCTGTTGCTTTTATTGCTTTTTCGTATCAAGATAAATTCGTATACCATAAAAATGAAATGTGGAGCGATAATTGTAATTTGTAATCTATATTTTTTTCTATTTTTTCAAGATATCAAAGATAACAAAAACGTCACGAGCAAAATATCACTATATTTTGCTATTCGCGGATGTATTTTTATTATTTTTCAAAAATAGAATAACTCAAAAATCTTCGATCGCTCTCTTTCATCGCTCTCTCGATTCGTCGCTACACAAATATAGCAAGCGATAAGTTTTAGTGTTATCTTTCGAAATTCTCTTATGTGCGTCTCGTGAAGAAAATCAAGCGCGACAGATATATCACGATAACAAAGTCCCTTGGATCAAATATTCAATCGTGAGGGACTTTGTTGGTGATATCGCATATGAATGTAGGGACTGAGAAAATATGCGTAGCATTCCAACAACGGAAGTATACGCAATGTTGATATCAAAGGATGCAACGTTATCGCAAAAGAGATTGTGTAAGGCTGGTCTCTTAACGCCAATTTATTCTTTCATTAGCTTGATGTGCGTCTTCAAATGCCGCGTTTAACATTTTCTACGAAAAATTTGAAATTTAGATTATAAATTTCATAAATTTCATAAATATTCGGAATTGATAAATACTAACATTCAGAAATGAATAAATCATTGCGATACTTTATCTCGCATTTTTATCTTTTCGTAGTATTGCTCGTTTTCATTTGTTCTTCTATTCCGTTTTGATTTTTCCGACATTCGCTAATTATATTTATGAATTTATATATGAATTTATATAAATTCTGAAAATTTTTTATTCGTGGATTTTTTTATTTTTTATTTTTTTTTTTTATTAAGTAATGAAAGACAATTATGATCTTGTGCATTATTTTACAATATTTCTAAATTAATATCACGATCAAAATAACTACATATTATTTTTTATATCTCATTGATAATTTAACAACGCATGTCCAATAAAATATTCATAAAAATACGATTCTCGTAAAATTTCTATTCATGAAAATTCTATACATCTCTCAAATATCTTAGCTAATACATACAAAAATAATAAATCTTTTATAAATATATAATAATACAATAGAGAATGTAATCGGATGATTCTTTTGAACAGAAAAATTCTTTGATTAATTTGACTTGAATAATTTATCTTTTAGCGAATTCTTTTGAGGCAGGAAAGTCAGAAGAGAGGTCATCATTTATAGAGTTTCAATTTCAAACGTACATAATTCTACAAATTATTTTTTAATTTCTTTAACTTTATATTGTAAAATATGTTTTTGTTATATTTATTTGGTAAAAAGCCTATAATAGCTCTTTATAATTAATTTTTTATTTTTGCCGATTGTTTGAAAACTATTATAAAAAATTGTTTCAGAATGTTAACTTGATAGAACGGATGAGAGTGGAATTTATATTTAAATAATAAACATCATAACACAATAGGATTCTTATGTGTTTTTAGAAATTGTACTTTCTAAAATATACCAAAAGCATTATATTGCAATATTTATTCAAGCGTCATGTGCCTACTATCTTTTTTTCATGAATAGAAGAAGCTTCTACCTGCTATATGCAACCTTTCGATGGATTTCATTCATACTTTCGTACAAAGTAAAATAACTTATTACTATACTAGTCTGTATATCAGCTTATAGACTAAATTATTTTGGCTTAGGTTAAGTTTATTTTGCGTAGGGTAAAAGATATTTTTATGGTAAAAATTGAAGAATAAGAAATTTTTTTCAAAAATTTGAGAGAAGTCCATACTACCGTAAACAAATGTCTTTTATTGACCTGTGCACATGTAGTATGTAAAGAAATATTTTAAGTCTACTAGATTTAAAGAGTTACAAAGGTCAACAATATTTTAGTAAAAATTGCAATTATTGAAAGAAAGAGATGGGGAGGGAGAGGGAGAGAGAGAGAGAGAGAGAGAGAGAGAGAGAGAGAGAGAGAGAGAGAGAGAGAGAGAGAGAGAGAGAGAGAGAGAGAGAGTAGTAGAGTAGTAGTAGTAGTAGTAGTAGTAGTAGTAGTAGTAGTAGTAGTAGTAGAGTAGTAGAGAGAGAGAGAGTAAGAGTAGAGAGAGAGAGAGAGAGAAGATAATTTATAAGGGATATTTCGAGTAGATTCGTTCATCAGAATATTCTGAATATTCCTTATTGCTTAAGAGGAGAACGAGGGGAAGAGGGGGGCTTGACAAGCATAAAGACGGATGGACGGACGTGGACAAGAAGGCTTGGTAACTTCTTCGTAGTTACTCGCAGCATGGTATCTAAAGGTATACGAGTATCATGCATGCTTTTGAACGCTAGTCGCTTAGTTCGAAGCTAAAAGAAACGGTGAGACGACTATTCGTCTTTTTCCGGCCGGTCGTCCTCGCAGGTTTACAGTCTCGGCAAGACAAAAAGGGAGCGAGAGAGATAGGAGGACTAGGTTGACTAAGGAGATTTAAACCCGGTTCCAGGCCAATTCTGTGATGGGAATTTGTGCAGCCTTTATTATGAATTTTTTTTTCTCTCTTTCTCTCTCTTTCTAGGCTCAATTCCCGGCTACATTTTTTCATTCAGAGAAAAGTATGTCTATGAAAAATATTAATTTTTGTTTGAACAGATAAAGTTATTTTTGTAACTGCGATGTTTTTCCATATTGGAAAAATAGTTTTGGAAATATTTGGAAAGAATTGGAGAGCGCTATCAAAATTCTGTTTTAAAATGCATAAATCAGAAATTCCAGTTGAAGTTATTAGAATTCAGTTTAAATTAAGAAAATTTCTGATTAATTCAATAAATTTCTGGTTGATTTAAATAGAAATTTGGTAATTTCAATCAGAATTTCTGATTTGTTCATTTTTAATGAGAATTATTTTTAAAAATAACGTTGTGCTCCGTTCAGCTCTGTGCGTCATTCATATGTCTACTACGATAAGTTTTTTTTTATATAAATAAAATAAATATATTAATTTATAAATATTATTTGTCTTATAAAATATTTTTATTTTATCTTACATTTTTTCCGATATTATTTATTTATTGCTTTTAATATTACGTATTTAATATTACGTATATCAATTTTTTAAGAAAAGAAAGTTTTGAAAAATTCCAAATTTAATAGAGAAAGTTTCCTTTCATGCAAATATAGGAAAAATTTCAAAATTTAGATCTAAGCGATCTTTGTGCGGTTTTTATGAACAAAAGAATGAAAGAATATTTTTATCTAGCAACAACGAAATGATCACGAATATGGATTTTAACAATTTTGCGATTTCACACTCAGCCGGGATCTCAGCCCGAGGGATCATTAAGTTTGCAAGTCAACTGCCATTGGGTGGTCATGCATAGCATAGACTAGGAAACAAACGAGAGAAAAGAAGGATGTTAACTTTGCAAACAGGCAGAGATATATGAATGATTTGTTCGGGATGGCGGAGAGGAATCGAGACATTTCTAAGATCTTTCATGTTCCGAGTCTTTTTCCACATGGCCAAAGTCGTTGGCCACGAGGCAGAAATGGCCATTGATACCACTATATTTATGATAATGATACGGGTTCTTCCTTCCGAAGTAAACCGCTCAATTTGTGATGGATTTAGCTTGTAATTGTCGAGGCACGAGAATATAAATTTCTTTGAAACTGCTACTTATATTTCTGATTTTTAATTTTTGCGAATTTTTTTTTTTTTTTTATAAAAATATATTTTTATACTTTTCACATTTGTAATTAATCCTCATTAACCATTTATCTTTAATGACTGTTACGAATCGCTCGATATATGATATTTTCACAATAGCAATCATAAAGATAGATAAAACAAAAAGATTTCTTCTTTTACTCTGTTATAAACTTTGCGAATTCTCATCAGTCATACATCACTTGCGCGCCTGAGGGTCTCTATAAATAGATCGTGTATTATTGTATGTTGTACCCGCGTCGTGTGTGGTCTCTCACCGGAGAGCCATCCTTCAGCCGCGTTCTCGGGGGGATTTACGAATGTCGATGGAATCGTTCCTCGCAGTCATTAGAATTGAAGTCAACGTACGAAAGGACGTTTCTTCAATTGTCCGCGTGCGTTGTGATCTCGGGCATGCGATTAAATTTCTCGTGTTCTACAATCGAATTTAAAACTGAATCGCACCGGCGTCTGGACAGCTGCCGGTCGTTACCCTAAAATTTCGTCGAATCGGACCGTGTGGGGCGACCAGAAAAAGCCACCCCAAAACGTCAAATAACAAATTTTGAAGGGGGTTGCCGACGAGATTCGCGACCGGGCCCCTTGAGGAGGCTTCTTTTAAGATGGGACGGACCGCGGCCCTTCGACTCTGCTCTCGCAGCCCGTTCTTCTTTTCATTATGCTTCGATATCGATTTGGCGCACTCCGGGGCCGGCGATGCCAATCGGCAGGCTGCAAGGGCGAACTTGATTTTCAGCATCTGCCTCGAGTAAAAACGCTCCGTTTAATAATCTCATTTAGCGAACACCGTATCAACTTTCGAAGGTAGGCGGAACGTTCCACATTTATTATAATTGACGCGCGAGCAATTTGTCGCAGTACTCAAGATTAGGTGATTATTCAAATTCACTAAGACGCCATGAAACGCCAAGATATAGAAAAAGATTAAGTATCAGATATAGAACAAAATAATAT